CTCGTTTCGCATAATCTATAAGGGTGGTTGTTACATCGTTAAATTGGAGTCGCTCGATTTTCTGCGTGATTTCTGGTCTTTCTTTATTACAGATGCAAACGCAAGGTCGGCTGCCTATTTCGTCGAAAAATACGTGATGATTAATGCTCTAACTTTATGAAAATTCACTTGCATTTCTTCCTCTAAATCGTTTATTACGGTGTTTTTAGCGTATAATTGTAATTTGGACGTTAGAGTTAATGTTGCAAATAAAATTTATTGTTTGGATTTGCTCGCCTATCACGTAAACGTCTTTCACTTGACAAATAATAATGCTTGCGGTGAACGCTAGCCAAAATTTTAATGACATCGGCTTCTCTACGAGATGCCTATTGCATTTTGACGAAAATTGGCCGTAAAAATATCATTGTTACTAGCTACGTATGGCTACTCAAATATAAGGAACATCAGATTAAATTTAATTTAATTTATGACACAGTCAGGGAATTGAAACTTTTAGGTAAATTGCACATAAAAAATCAATTACCAGAGCTCTACAAGCGTTGAAATTAGCAAGTATTCATATTAGTATTTGCAAGGGTAAAAGCAAATAATGACCTCCAATTGATTAGCGAGAGCAAACTTTACAATAGCACATGTTATTAATGCTCTCTGTTAGTTCAGTATAATACACCATTGATGCATATTGTAAAATTCACATAACACCAAAAGCATTTTATTCTGAAATCTTTTTACTGGCAAAATTTTGTTTGAGTTCTATAATGCGGCTTCTAAATGCATAAGTTTAAAACATAGCTAATAATTCCAAACAGCTACTTTTAATCGAGTACATTATTTCTGCAAATGAACATAGAAGTCGTAATTTAGTCTTCGGCGCGCGTAGAATAAAACTGGAAATCCACGTTCTGGTTAAATAGAAACGCTTTACATTACCCAAAGAAGTCGAACGGGGAAAAAACTCTCATTAAAAACGTTGAAAATATTTATAATGGTAGAGAAATTGTAATTGCATCCATAAATGCAGCGCATGTAGAAACCGTATTAAAGGCAATAATTTTTCGGGTCCGTTTAATGATCAACAATAAACAATAGTAGGTTGCTCTTGGTTATGCAAGCGAATAAAACCGAAGGTATACTCTGTTAAACAAAGAGAATTTTAAGATAAATTTTATAGGTATACTATAATAGGTGGTTTAAATTTAAGTGGTAATGAAATTTATTTGCTTACATTGTTGGGTAACATTTTGATGATAATTTAAGAAGGTTCCAGTCGTACATAGTTTTTCTATTTCAATAACATTAATCCATGGAATGAACGAGAACTAAAATTATGTTTTCGCCAAGATTTCGGGAACAATCTTAACGTAAGATCAGAGACTGGGATTATACAAAAAAAGCGTGCTATCCACTCGTCTATCGAACAAATCACAAAAACCACGCAATCAACTGCACATCAGTCGGAGCGAAATCAAGTTTGACTGTAATTTCTCTCAGTTCTGAGGGTGTTAATGGGTCAGGCAGACGCGAGGGCAGGCAAGAACTGGCCCGGCTGTATCGAGTCGACTGATAAATCGCATTTACGACGATAAAATGCACGAACGATTTCTTCTGGGGATTAAGAAATTGCTCGCATTTGGATTTCTGGCTCGAAACTCTGGATCCCCGAAGGCTTCATCTCCGACCGTTACGTTACGGACGTTTCTTTTTATGCTTCCTTTTTCTCTTGATGGGAATAAAGCAATATTTGCTTAATTTTATTCGGATTCGTTTTTTTTATTTCACGGTATTTGAAGATATATCGGATCGATTAACTCACTCAGTAGGTAAACTCTGTTACAGGTACCTACATAAATTTTAATGTGTTTACATTTATTAAAGAGATAAATGCAAAAAATATTTTTGACTTGATTGAATGTTTTACTAAATGTAGGTACCTACACGATAAAGAAAATCTCTTAAAAGCAAATTTTTAATCCACATTGAAATTTAATATCAAACTACCTTCAATACTTGGGAAATAATAGGTCTATTAGTAGATAGGAGTTTCGATTAAAACCAGTCCATTGTGTGTTGGTAGAACATAAACAAATCGGTCGACATTATAATGTAAATTTTGTCTCACAAGAGACATTTCAAATTCAAAACGTTAATAGGGTAGTTATATTTCAGATTTATATTCCCTATTAGCCGTTTATTGTAAATTGGATAAAGATTGGAAGCGGATTTAGAATTAAATATGCGATTATCTGCGAAATGTATACCTATTTCAACGCCTCTAGTACGTTTCGGGTTAAATAAAACGTAGCTATAGTTGGATAATTGGGTCGTTGTATTATTGCTGGTGTACAAAATATTTGTTGAACATTTTATCGGCAAGAATTCCTAATGAAGAAAAATTTATTAAAACATTTCATGCATAAAAGTAATATCTGTAAAGTATTAAAATTGGGAAACAAGAATTTCAAAAACAATAAAGAAATCCTCAGTCTAATGTAAATTCCGGGGGTTTTAAGAAATATTAAAAAACAGTAATTTCGCCTGAAAGAGAAATAAGCCACACGATACTAATACAGAAGTAATTTCGACTTTTTACAAATGAAAACGTTCCCGTACAAGTATATTTAATGGAAATTAGAATGAACGCAAATCACGATTTATTTATAGTTTACTTTGAATGTATTTACATTGTTTTAAATGTTAAAACGTAAGTAGATAGGAAATGCATCGACCTAATAATTAAACGAAAAGAATATATCTACAGATTCCAAGTTTATCCCCAATCCTTTCCATTCGGGCGGGTATTTTCGCCGGGAAGTAATAAGAACAGATTTGTAAACATTTCCTGTAAATTCCCGAATAGAAAGATGTTTCTCTTCGAACGGAAAAGTTTCAGAGGGAGTACCTGGAAATCAGCTTTATTTTCATTTCAGGGGCGCTCCTCGGGGAATCGAGACGTCAAAAGGGCGACAATATGCCCTCGAGGATATTCTTTTACAGATTTCCGATGGATTTTCTTAAGACGAAGGATGATGTCGAATAAAGACGAAACAAGAAAAAATATGTCGCGAACGTCGAAAGGGAGAAGTATGTTGTTGAGTCGGTTGAATATTTTATAAGGGTTTTAATGCAATTGATTTTTTTCTTTCTGCTTTATTTTCTTTCCTGATTTAATTTGTGTTGTTTTTTGCTTCGAGATCATCAACACCTTGTGTGTTAAAATTTGCGAAAATATTTTTTATAAGCATTAATTGTATTAAACAGAAATAAAATTGGTAGTGTGCCAAAATTAAAACATTTAAACACGCCCGACATGTTGATGGATGACATGTTTATTAGTTTAGTGTATATCTTGTCAAAAACTGTATCATCTCGTCCACATATACGCATCACCTGTTTTCTTCTATCTAAGTAATTTGACGTGTTACGTTAACCAACATTTCAGAAATTAAAATATCTATGTATTTAAATTATTCGATACCAGTTGAGATAATAAGTATGGTGTACATATCAAATTGCACACGTTGAGGAACGTGTCGCGTGATAGTTGATAAAAAATAGCATTAAAATTGAGATATTACATACCTATTAATTTTTCGTTCATTCTTCATGGTACATGCAAAACGACAATCTAGTTAATCTAAATAAATACTTACTGCTGTACTGAAAAAAACTCGTGAATTTCCATTGACCTAAATAAATAAGTTTTCTCTACGGAATGCAACTTCCGCCGTTTATCGCCGGAGATAAGAATCTGCCAGAGGGAGTGAAAAATTCAAATTGCTACACAAATTTCGGAGAGTTTTTGCGCAATTAAATTCAATGAATATATCCCGTCACTTCCAGGACTGGCTCATAAATAGGAGCCGCGTACTCGACAGGAAGGATCCAATAACAATATCCTTTCGGTGAGTTGGCACATAATAATCTTGTAACGGACCCACTAGACAAAAACCACGAGACCTTCAGCATCAGCAAAAATCGCAGAACACGATAGCCTTTGAATATTAGGCCAGTCACAAATTTTCACAAAAAAAATTGAACCATCATTATTTCACTGGAGTAATTTGAAATATGGAATATGACTTGAAGAGACTTTAAAAAAATGGACAATCATAAAATCGATACTAAATTGGTGTGGTGATTAGTAGGTTTTTTTATAGGCCTTTTGATATGGTAATTTTGTAATTATTTTTTGGTACATATTTATAGAGAAAATGGTAGTAAACGAAATTTCCCTAGCTAGAAGAACTGGCCTGCAAGCGTGCATAACAATTTTCATTACATTTTATACATCTTGGAGGGTCGGTTTGCCGACGGAATCGACGATACGCTTTTGATTTACGGTTTTTATGCGATCTTCTTAAAAGTTTTAATAAAGGTTAGTGAAATAATGATTATCAGAGGCGAATGGCAGTTCAGAAAAAGTCGCGTCTCCATTTCGCTGATGCTTGTTAACTTCGATAAAGAAACTTAGCGAGAAACGGTTCGCTATAATCGTTTTTCTGATACATTTTTGTTCCTAATTCGATTTTCTCGCGCCTGTTGTGTGTATTTTTAGACACGTTCGCCGAATTATACCAGGGGTTTTACTAAGCAATCGGTCTAATTGCCCCCATTTTATAAATACGCAACACCCAATTTATCCGCATTGCTTCGAAAATATGAAATGGAAATTTTTTCGTTTTATTAAACATTTCTAATTACTTCGAGCGAGTCGAGCATCTGCTTAATATGTTAGTAGACAAATTGTCTGAGTTAATTTGAAAATCTTTCATTTGATTATTCTACCGCTCGTCAGTTGGCAAGATTTCGAATTTTCACTTTGAATGTATTTTTAAATAAAAAAATGAGGAATCTGAGATACTCTATTATCTTAGTTTTTGATTTATTAAATATTTGAAATATCTGCTGATTTTAACAGGCAGTGTTAATCAACACTTCTTTCAGCGTTTTTACTAACTTTTAGAACATCATAAAATTGTATAAATGCAGTTCAAAAAATGTTTAATTTTATTTCAGAGTCCAATGATGCAAAATCAACCGATGTGAGCGCGATTTCGAAAAACGACAAACAAATGCACGGCAACAATTCGAAAATTATCCGTACCATAACGACGTCGGCTCTCAACGAAAACCAAACGACCTCCAGCGGCGCCGAGTTGAACCGCAACAACTTCATACTACTCAGAAACTCCAAAGGCAATGAGAGCGGTCATATTCTCCTGCGCACTGACGCCTTCGCTCATGCCAAGAACAACATCCTGCTGGAGGACACCGATGGAGGGAAAATCGGTAAGTCACCAACTCTTCTATTTTTATCTTTTTCTTGCTCTTCTTGCTCATCTTCTTGTTCATCTTCTTGCTCATCTTCTTGCCCATCTTCTTGCTCATCTTCTTGCTAATGCTAATGCTTTTTGCTGGAAGAAACTAGTTGATATTGGAGAATGTTCCTTCGGCAGGCCAAATTCTGATCCAGCAAAGCGAGATCAAGAAGGGGGTGCTCGTGCAATCGGTGAAGAGACTCACGTCGCCGATATTCCTGCTGAGCGCAGGAGATAACAGCAACGGGCATATCTTGATACATACGGCGGCGGCGACTGAGGATACGAGGCAGCAGACGGTGGAAATCGAAGATGGTAGCGAAAATATTTTGGTGCAGGCTCTAGAGGGTATCCAGGATGGCGATTCGACCAGCAGCAGGGGATTATCGACGCCTATCGGTTCAGGTACGTTTGTTTTAAATCTTACAATTGCTCTTTTATTCTGTAATGATATACTTTGTCGATTCGTTTAACGATTTTTTACTATTTTCTGCTTCAATGACGTTTTAAGAATGATAACGGTTTTATTGCAATAGTAAAATCAATCTTTACGTCTGAACTTTTTATTGTATTTTTCTGATAACCTTTTTAAACGGTCTCGGTATTTTCGAACGTAAAACCTTCGAACTGTAAGAACCTCTTCGTGCCTTGCATTATTTTAAATGCGCTATCAAACAGAAGTAGACAACATGAAGGATTTCCTCTTTTACTAGGTTTTGATGTTTCAAGGAAGTGCGATTAGATTTTGTTGGACAAGTGTTATTTATTACTAATTAACGACGAAAAACCTAATCGAATAACGATTTTTCACTTTGGAAAATTAAATTACATGTAGTAACTACTTACTACTTTTTTAATATGAAATTCATTAGTTAATAGTATATTTTTAAATAAAAATAATCGAGTCTCATTTGCTTAATTGTAGTGGTCGTATTTCTGTGACATGACCATATTATAATTTAGGAATAAAAAAATTCAAGTTTCGCGTGTTGAACTCGACGCAATTTTTCATTGACCAATAATGAGTGAGAACGGTAACGATTTGACGGACAAAAAAAACACCATCGAGGAGAAAAATCGTTGCGAAATGCACTTGGGCTGAAAATTACAGGTTAGGCTAAAAATTGACAAATGGCCCTTTAAATAAAACTTCCACCCTATCCGTCCTGTTTCGTGATAGCCGAGTATTTATTCCTTAAATGGGATCCTATTGCATTCCCGAGTATTATTTTCAGAAAAGACCTTTCCGTATTACTACGACTAACGAACTTTGAATAAAATTTTATTACGAATGCTAATATCGTATGTCTAGATGAAATAAATTTTATCACCGAAACGTACACCGGCATACCGAAGTTTTTGGTATTGCAATATTACCGTAACGGCATTGCTAAATCAATTGAGAATTTCATTAAGTTTTATAATTTGCGGTTTGATATAGTTATACCTATGCGGCTAGAAAATATTCCAAATTGCTTTTTTATTAAGTCATTCAGAATTTACCGTACCTCGCTAAATAGTTTCAATGGAAAATCGCTGGACTATTTCTAGAGTTCAGTATGTAATTTCGAGTTTCAAAATGTGAATGGAATTTATGTTAATTATTGAATTAATGGAAAATTTTCCTATTTTCTTGAAATTCTCTTCGCGTTCTCGCAGAGGTGTTTGTTGGAGGCTAATAAAACACCATCACTCGTAAATATCTTAACGCTCAGCGGGAAAATGCGTAAAAATAAGTCACAAATTTATGTGATTTTATGCTGTTTCGGTAACAATATTTTTTCGTTCCGTATCGGATACAACTGTCGTTTTTATTACGTACATAAAATTTTTGTTGATTTATAAACTAATCTGGGTTAACGGGTTAATTCCGGCGTTTTTATATTCTCATCTGTTTTGAACGACAAGCCATGGAATAATTTATTCCTGTAAGGGGTTGGTAAGTGATTTCGCCTCCATAAAAAATAAATTGCTTCGCAGGCGATTAAATTAAAAGATTTTCCCGGGATTTCTTTTTAACCTTTGGAGATTAAGATGTAAAAGGTGAAGATTTTAGTATCTTATATTTTCGCCGTTACTTTTTAAAGACGTTTTCTTGTTTATAATTCGATAATTCGTTCCACCCGACGTGAAGTTTTCCACTTAAAAATGTCGAATTTCCCTTTTCTTTCGGAGGAGGATATATTGTTTTGAACTTGCATTGACACTGAGAGATATGCGCTTTATTTGACGGTTCGCCGTTTTACGACGCATCGTAAATCAAAAAGTCGCTCACTTTAAGAATGTATATCCGCCCTGAACGACATTCCATCGAACGGTTTTCCCCGCGCGTTACCGAACAGGAAAAATTCCCTGTAATTCCCCATATTTCATTTCCTCCAAAGGAACTTTCTTCGTCGCGATAGATAAATTTCAGATACGCAAAACATCAACCAGGAGATAAACTAGGTCAGTAGTTAAACGGATAAATTTTTAATTACATACACGTAATATAATGACGTATTATACACAAGTACGAGCGGAGCGATTTCTTTCCTAGCTCGCGTAATCCTTGGTGAACGAGTTCAAAAATAAAATTTACATTTACTTGGAAATTGCAATCCTCACATCCACTCTCGTACAACCGACGCTATCCGACTTTTTATACACGCCGAGCTTTAATTTGACCTATAAAAAACGGAGAGGGGAAATGCTCCTACGAATTGAATCACAGATCAGAGGGGTTTCAGGCGCCCCGGAATATATAGAGTTCTATTTAATCAAACATTATAATTTCGCCTCGATGTCGGATAAAAAGGTCGGCTCAATTTAAACAGTGCACTTTTTTACGAGAGAGCCGAGAGGGAAAATGCGCTCGTTTTTTCGCCAACCCCTTTTTGTTTTGTCTTGTTGGCCGGTTTCCATCATTACCTGCAGTTTAATTAAAAAAAAGTGTCCAATAAAAAGTCCACCCTTTATTGTAATATTTGTACTATAAAAAGGTTGAGGGATGTAAATTATTTGAAATATTTCACACTTTCAATTAAAATGTAGAGTTAGTTGAAATATTACAACGTTGCCATGTTGTCATTTTATTTTCGAAAATAATGATTTTTAAAGGTAACATGAAGGGTTCTATAAAAATACAATTAAAGGTGTGGAGTAATTGAATTTTGGAGAAACTTCATCGGAATATGCAAAACTATAAAATTGGTAGAAACGTTCAATCAAAGTAGTATTCTGTGTGTGTGGGCTTTGAATTATATCCACAATTACTTTTATAAATATTTGATGCCGGTGGCTCTATTTCCGCACGGGAAATTTACATATTTTCCCCGAGTTTCATTGTTGCGGAACGGGCCGGCGAGTTATCGAAGTACTTTTTCAATTTAATGACTCAAAGTTAGAGGCGAACAAATAGTTGTTTTGTTCCCCTTGGCCGTACTCGGGTCACTATTACTGGCCCCTTTTTGTCGTAATTTCTCTTTGAGAATGTCGGCAGTTGCGAAATAAACTCCGTACTTTTCCATGGTAATGAACTATCCTTGGGAAAAACAACGATGTATATCTCTTCGATGGACACTCGGATGGATATCGAAAAACGCGTTATTCGAATTTAATATAGAGGAAACTCCGGAAATGTCCCGTCAAATTCGAAATTGCTGTAGAATGAATCAAATTGGATTATTAAGCTTCTTTTCCCTGTAACTCTTAAAACACAATATTTTGCTGAAATTGGTAATAGATTTACTAATTATTTATAGAGATAAAGTGAATTAATTGTAATATAATTAATTAGCATTATAAAAACCTTCAATAGTAGGATTAAATATTTCAAAGCATAATTTGGAATATCCCCCCATACTGGTAGATTACAAATGTCATTTAAACGTAATTTATTCAAATATTCGCCCTCGTTGTGGGCCGCAAATTTATTGAAAACAATGAAAACTTTCCTAACATGATAAATGCATGACATCGAGACCGAGGAGTGCAAGCTCGCAATACATGGAGGGTCATGCGATCCCATCTCAAATGAGACACTTTAATAGTCTGTATAAATTGAAAATAAATTTTGAATTATACGTTCCTGAAACAAAACAAGACGATTACGACGGGGCGTATATTACCGACGCTTTTATGATGTTACTCTTTTAACGGGTACGTGTTGACACAGTAATTTGTCGCGGAAAGCGATTTGGTTAAAAATTGCTTCGTATTCGGTTTAAGTTTCGTCGAATTTCACGGCGAAGCAAACCGGAAAATAAATTGAACGCTCTAAAACGAAACGATATTCGAAAGGCAAACCTAATTGCGAAAAATTTGACCGAAACTTTTTCCTTGACAAAGTGCATTCTTTTTAATTGCTTTTGTAAATCTACTCGTCGGCGTTTCCTTTAATTTGTCTTACGTTTTCTAAGAGTCATTCTCGAGGGCTCGTTTTCTGGAAAGATAAGAGCCGAAAGCCATCTAGACTGAAGCTTTTTTGGCTAATTAGAAGCTTACGGCGTAATTGACATTTTTATACGCCCTAAATTACCTTATATTGAGGTACACAACCTTATAAGTGGTAATATAAAAGGAGGGAAATTTATTAAAAATTGAATGAAATAATTTCATCCTTATAAACGAATATTTTAATTCGCTACAAACTCTTCAATTAGACCAGTTTTTTTTTTTCTATACAAAAGGTTGTAATAAATTTTATTTTTTGCATGTTGCAAACGCTCTTCTAATTACATATCAAAAATTAAAAAAATGTACATAAGTCCACACATGCGTGAATTTGAATGGGAAACACCCCATCGTGCCGTTTTAATATTCCGTCAAAGGCTCCATTTGCTTATGCGCCCGGAAGAATCGCATTTTGATGAAATATGAAAATCTGCAAATCCTGTCCAATACCAACCCTGTGTTTAACCGGTTCTGCTATAAATAATTTTGGATTGCGGTATTACTTTTGTGTTGTTTCCGTGTTGAAATAGTAATTGAATTCCCCCATGAAATCCGAATAAACCTCCGAAACGGGCGACGTAAACCAGACAGGGCCCCGAAAAATTTGACAAGATAATAACCGGCCGCAGACCAAGGGGGTCGTGCCGGACGCTATAAAAATATGCAAATCGCTTAGTTATGGTTATTAAAAAACAATTACGGCTTGTTCTGGTGGTTTACGAGCCACTTTGAAGAAGATTTCGTTGTATTCAAGTGGCGCAGTATAAAAAAACAGGAACAACGTTCATTTCCCGACAGGTGTTTGTTAATGCTGCATATATCCGCTTCAAAATTAGATTTGATATCGGGGAAAGCCGGTAAAATTGTTGGATTTCACTCAATTAAAATCGCCCTACTCGCATAATGAAATTTCATGCATTTTTACAAAACCTAATTTTCGTTTTCAAAGCCGCGCATCGCTAATTATATCT